AACTGGATTTGCTTAAAAACCTGGAACTAGAAAGGTTGTCTTATAAATCAAAAATAAAATAAACTTAGGAACTCATTACAACAATAGTAGCTAACTATCATGTATCATATATATGTATTTAGTTGTATATATATGTATTTATATCATAGTCATGATTTTATGTTATTTATGTATGTATTATTTATTTTGTATAGGTAGATAGATAGATAGATACTATTTATTGTTTCCTCCAAAAGATTACAATAGTAAACTTATTATAAATATAAATAATTACAAGAAATAATCACAAAGGTATGCATTATTAGTTGTTATATTTTTACCTATCCTTTATAATGAAGTGCCGTGTTCGTGATTCACTGTTCATCCCAAAGGTTGGCTGGTAGAGAATGCTACTAGCATTAAGTCCGCCTTTTGTACCATACTTTATTTTGGTCAATAAAGTTATTTAAATAAATAAATAAATTCGTACATAATAATTGTTATTATAATTATTTACGTACAGTTTTATTTTCTTTTCACATTCATTTAGTGTGTGAGAATAAGAGAAAAATGCAGTTAAGGTCGATAATGCCCTTGTTGCCTGCTATATCCAAGATATTGGACTAATTCCTACTCTAATTTTTTTTGTTTGTATGTTTATATACAGTATAATACATAGATACAATACTATACAGCACTTTATTATATAGTAAAGTCTTATTTATTATTTTATTACTTATTATTATTAACATCTGTATGAAGTAAATTAGATTAAATCTAGAGTATGCTCGTTTTAAAGTAGGTTTGTCTAAATTAACATTATAGGTAATACTTATTTATAAAGATAGGAATTTATTTTATTGTTTGTAATGGAAAAATGGAAAAACGAAAAATGTTTAACCGATTTTATAAATTATTTTACCTATATTATCAGCGAAGTATATACATAGTAACATACATTCTCAGCGAGAAACATGGGGTGTACTTTCAAAATAATTAGGTATGTCTACATTATGTACTCGTGCATTGCTAGGCTTAATCGCTAGTACTTTATAACTGTGTAACTGGTACAGTATAAATAGAATTAAGTCCATCTTTTACATCAGACATTTTTTGTAATGTGGTCAATAAAGAAAAAAAAATGTGTATTATATATTTTTTTTTATACAACTTAGAATGGCAAACAAGCTGACGGCCCACCTAATGGAAAGTGGTCACCGTCGTCTATAGACATTAGCAGTACTGTGGACATAACAGAGTATACTGTTTCGCCCATGATACCCCCCATGTGTTGCCATTCCTAAGGACTCAGGTGTTATTCCTCTGTTCCCTGTAAATTCACGCCATATCCCATAACACAACTGCTTCACGGTAGAAACACGAATGGTACAGAGGTACCCAAGCAATCGATTTTTGTACAGTCTCCCTCTGGTAAATAAATAAATCAACTAACAGATGTCTTTCTAGAAGATAATGTAGAATTAGTGATAATTTTCAGACCTATGCAGGACCACAACAAAAAAGCATTTATGTATAAAGATTTATGAATAAAGAGAAACTAAGGAATTTATCAGGGTACGTGTAAGTGGCTTTCTGTTGCTTGCCTAGTCTTGATAGGCTCACGTCTGTTCGCGGCCAAAATATCTCGCTGTTTGTTTACGAAATACTTATAAGCGATGTAGCTGAATTCGTAGATCACAATGAAAAACCAGACATGACATAAACCATAATAATGTTGGGATGAATCCAGTTTTTTATAGTTTGTTATAATTCAACCTCTGAATCGTGAACTATCTGATATTATTCGTATTATTTTCTTATTGAATAAGTATTTTACCCATTCTTCTGTGAGTTAATATAAATGTTTAAAGATATAAAAGGTAGATAGTAGAATGTATTTAGACATCGAAATTATGCTATCTACAGTTGTATCGTTCATGTTACTTCTATCAGGTTGCCTGGTTTTTTACTATTCCTAGTATATAAAATAGATATAAAAAATATATATAAAAAAAGATATAAAATATATATAGATATAAAATAGTATATAAAAAAGAGGAAGAGGAAGATCGAGGATTAACTACATGGGACAGATAAAGGAAACACTAGGTGTCACGTCGTATAGGGAGGTCAAGGATATGGCCTGGGATAGAGCTGGCTGGAGGAAGATGCATGGATTAGTTGCACCGACAAGAGGAAACTCTTAAATGGAAAAGAAAGTATATAAAATAATACATGTTCAGGTCATTGGTAAGAGCGGAATTTATTTTAAGAACGACTGGGCTAATTTGGGTATTTTTAATATTACTACTAAAGATTTTGAAAGGAAAAAATAGAATTTGGACATAATAATGGACGATAGGTAGCACAGAAGGTAAAGAAGAAGAAATATTTGTACTATTTCTTTGATTTTTTTTTTTATTAATTTTGTAGTTAAATGTAAAAATATAATCAAAACAGAAATGTATATTTTACACCATTGAAAATGATTTTATACTTACCAAATTCGGCAATTCACATTACCAAACTCTATAAAAATGAACACACACCGACAGATGCTAACATTTTATTATGTAATATATTATATGAGGCGTTCTTGTGTCGTTTTAAATGTTGCCGTAATATATAAGACGGACGTAGGTGACAGCTGTGACTACCTAATAGTGTAACGCGTGCGTGACTCAGTACCACAAGTGTTATACATACCAAACAGAACTGCGTTTTATTTAAAAAAAAAAAAAAAGATTGAATGTAATATTTTTGTAGAAATATACAAATATTTTAAAATGGCCGTGTGGTCCCAGCATAGAATAGGCCACCGCTTTCTACCCCGTGGGTGTCGTAAGAGGCGACTAAGGGCGGGCGTGTGATGGACAGCAGTGTACCTCCTAAAACATCTCTAAAGCCTAACTGCGGTTGCCAATTCGCCTGAGGCTTATGTTCAGCGGTGGACAGTTAAAGGCTGATATGATGAAGGTGATAAAAATGTTCACATAAAGTTTCTATACATAAATTCCTATTTAAAAAAGAGCTTTATGAAGACTTTAAAAATAGATAAATGCAGTCCAAAATATTTTTAAAAATAAATAACATTTCATCAGCACATTCTGGGCATCGTGCGAGATTATAATTTGTTACAAGATAAATCAAAAAGATTTAAAATGAGACGAATTTTTAGTTTCGCCTTCCGTCTTCATCATCAGACCAGTTCAATAACTTACTATAATAGCCAGCACAATCGGAAGGTAGCAAGAGATAAAAAATGGCTTGCAAATTATGAATAGAAATACTTACATATGTAAGCAAGTTAAGTAAAAGTTTGTAAAAACACGAATTTCTGGCTTGCTTTATAATGTAATCTACCACATCAAATCCCTTGTGAGGTAGACAGAGAGATGAGTACCAAAAAACTATTTACATACATTTTGAGCATGCACGCTACTTCTAAAGACTATTGATCCCTCCCTGGGATAGAACTTGGGTAATCAGATCTTTTACTTACTTATATATATTTGTTACGTACACAGATATTGTTTATAAAAATTAATATTTTTTTTATGCCACAAAAATGGCAAACAATCATACTGCCCGTCTAATCTTTATACCAATATATTGTATGGATTTTTTTTTATTTTCATTTAAGAGTTTCCTCTTGTCGGTGCAACTAATTCATGCATCTTCCTCCAGCCAGCTCTATCCCAGGCCATATCCTTTATCTCCCTATACGACATGACGCCTAGTATTTCCTTTATCTGTCCCATGTAGTTGTATGGATGTTTGCAAGAAAAACCCTTTCAAATACTTGACGAATTTTATTACTAAATCTAAACATGTATTGTTCAGTAAATATGGTGTAACTTAAAAATACATTTCAAATTATATTTGCTACATGAACATTGTTTCGTATTGAAACTACAAATCCTAATCTAGATAAATGTAAAAGAAAAATTTTTAATACAAAATATAATGTATTATTGTCTACCAAAGTCTATTTTAATAAAAAATTTGGACATGTAATCTATAAGCTATTAAAAATCTAAATTACACCTACATAAAAGAGGTCCAAAACTACTTAAATTTATTATAAATAAGCCTTTTATGAAATCATATATTTGTAACACACATGTTTATTGTTTTTTTAACTTAATATAATAATGATTATGAATACTAAATGATACACAAACTAAATGGCGGCGCAATAATTATCACAATAATTATAAGTCGATCACAAAATGACAATACAACATGGATTCATGGCTTCAGAAGCGAGATATTTACAGTGTGACTGCATGATGTTTGGATGCTCCGACATCTTCTTGCAAACAGTTCCTCTTCGTGTAATATCAATAATAATACATTCTGTACGTCGGCACACTAAACACATAGTCGAGAGATAAACCTCTCGATTGGAAGAAATGGTTCTCGTAACTATAAACGCGTCCTCTGTACCTGCATCAATAATTCTGTCTGATTACATCATCGGGTGACGGTGATGATTTTGGTTAATATAGGCATGTCTCTGTTAGGCGGCTATGAGGTGTGAATAGTTAACGAAATGAATGAAGATTTATAGACAAAACTATAGTGTTACGTATGCGGCGGTGCAACGAACCCGCGCTAAAATTACACGCATTCTGCTTCCCATGTGGTATGTTCAGCGCATCGGGAGATATTAAAATTACAGTTAAAACGCATTCTTGACATTTCCCTTGCCTAACCCAATTTCTACGACGAAAATAGTGTGATACTTTATAAGACCTTTTGTTTGTTTTAGTAGAAATCTGCATCATTTTGTTAGACGTTAATATTTCTGCGATACGAGAGTTAAGTGTATCAGTATAATGTGCGGCCGATTTTATGATGAGTATTGACGATAGCCAACCGGGTTTAAAGTCGAAGTAACGACTCTTGTTTCACAAGGCGCGCATGTCCGTTTGGTTATTTATATTTTGAGAACTAAATCAATGAGGACACGGTTGTGCAAAGCTCATGCTAATAATAAATTAGATGCTTGTACTTACTTGGCTCCTAGAGCAGCTTTGGTATCGAGAACCTCAACAATGTCGCCCGCTTTGAGTGACACTTCGTCATCTGCAACGGCAGTGTAGTCTGCCGATGCGACTACTACGTCCTCTACCTGTAACCAAAAAAATAAAAAAAAACAGATAAGCAATGAGGTTTTAATAATTAAAAAAAAAAGCGAGAAGTACTTCTACATTTGTTTATTTTATTGATTTTCAAAAGTATTTCGCTTTTCGACTGCATTTATTTCGGAATAGATAGCATAATTTGTGAAAGATAATCCTACTTATTAAAACTATCTGGAATATCTGTAGTAAGAACAGATAAAAATTCTAAAAAATTACCTTCGGAGGACTCCTGCTACAACTTGACCTAGATCTTGATAAAGACCGCGATGAATATCGTTTATAACTTGGTGTAGTTTCGAAGCTACTTATTCTACTTCTAGTATTTTCTCTGTCCAATAAAACTCCATTATATCTTCGACTCCATCCACCAAATTTAGTTATTCTCTGAGCATTATTAATATTGCAATATCCTGTAAATGACTGTAGGTCTTCATCGTTGTCATCTACAACAGGACAACTGTACATTGAAAAGCGATGGGCTGTTGGTTGACTAAGATTTAGAGCGGAAAATACATGCAGCGGCTCGAAATGTCGTATTCCAGTTTCGTCGAGAACTGTGTATGCTACTTGACCAGTCAATACTGCACGACTGGCTTCGCGAGGAACAACAGCTTGTAAACCTTTTTTCATTATTAATAATGCGCCAGCGGGATGCTTTCTGCGTTGGAATAAAAAGTCCTCCATAGCAAGACTATTTTCTGGGGCGAGTAAACTTAATGGAACGTCGTCAGATGTCATCAGCGGAGGCTCTTCTGGTACTATCATAAGAGCGGCACTTTCACGGACTAAATCTCTAAGTTTAGGATCTGTTCGAGCCAATTCTGGATCTGTCTCTAACTTACGAAGAGCAGAATGTAAACTCGGTGTTTTTTCTGCCAATTTACGCATAACTGTCAACCTTTTCAAAATATTTAGGCTTGTATCATCTGTTGCAATTTTTGATAAACTTTCTTTATTGTTTATAACCATTAATAAATTGGCAGCTACATTTCTCATTCCAAGAATTTTAGCAAGACCAACTGATTGTACAATCAGTTCTTTTAAATTTTCACTATTATTTTCATGTAATAATAATTCCAGCTCTTTAGTGCTTGATTCATGAACTGCAGATACAATTGCCTTTTGTAAAGTTTCTCTTACTTCATGATCAGTTTTAACAAAAGAAATTGAATCTGATATATGACTCAACACGTGACGAAGAAGATTTGTATCGGTGTTAGCTATATTTCTGAAAGCTGGTCCCAATACTTCATTCTCACTAGTTAAAAAGTCGCTGAATTTTTCAATAATATCTTCTTCAGTAAAGGAATGTTTTGTGGTGTTAACAGCAATTTTTATTAATTCAACTTTAGGTTGGGTTGTATTTTCTAAAATCTCTTCGCAAAGAATTTCTTTATCTTCCTCGCGTTGTAGAATTTTGTACATAGCTGTTACGAAATCTTTGTCAATGGCTTTACCCAAAATAGTATCAATCGATTTCAATATTAATTGATATTTCTCTTTGCTATTATTATTATTGACTTCTTCAAATTGTTCAGCAGTAACTAAAGCAGCCAGTACAGCTGCAGCTATAGAATTTTTAACATGTTCTTCATGGGCTGTTTGTCCATTTTCTCCTGTATGCCCTGTTTCAATTTCCATGCGCTTTTTGATAGTCTTACTTTTCTTCGTCTCACTATGGTTTTCATTATTTTTGCAGTTTTCATGTATTTCTGATTTCAAATGTACACTCATTTCTATTATAGATGTAATAACATCCATTAATTGGTTCGCGACATCATCTTTTAAACCAAAGTCCGTAACAAATGCTTTCAATGCTTCTTTATTTCTAGTTTCATTTAAAATCACATTAATCGCAGGTAATTCAGCTGGTACCTGTCTACCAATAGACATACCAGCCTCAGAAAGTTGTCTGAGCATATTTGTATCAATAGTCAGTTCCCCTTTAGTAGACGTTGTGTCGTTTGGATTAGTTTTCACTTTCAACAGTTTAAGTTCTTCAGGTGTTACAACGAAACTTTGAACTGAAAACTCTAATCCTTCTTCACCTTCTATGAGATCAGGAGCAACAAATTTTAATCCTTCAGGAGTCTGAACTATCTGACCAGGAACAAAAGTAACACCATGATCGTCTGTCTCTATAACTCTTCCAGGAACAAATCTAGGACCTTCTTCAGTATCCACTACTTGACCAGGTACAAATCTAGAGCCTTCATCTTCTGTAGATATAACTTGACCAGGTATGAATGTAGGTCCAGCCTTTGTTTCTATAATTTGTCCGGGAACAAAACGTGGACCATCAATTGTATGTATAGTTTGGCCTGGAACAAATTTTGGCCCATTTCTTGTATTTACTACCTGACCAGGTACAAACTTAGGTCCATCGGCAGTATCAACAACTTGACCTGGAACAAACTGTTCTCCATTTTCAGTAAATACTATTTGACCGGGTACAAAAATACCCTCTACCATCATTCCAGGAACAAATCTCGACTCATTTGCTTCATTTTTAACAAGTCTTCCAGGAACAATTTTGCCTTCTATTTTAGGTGTCCTGGGACCGGGGTAAAATTCAATACTTTTTGTAGTTTGTACCATATGACCAAAAACATACAAAGACTCTTCAGATAATGAACATGTTTTGATATCGATTGGCAATCCCATGTGGGTGCCTTCTGAAAAAGTTATATCTTCAACTGTTTTGGCTACAGAAAATTCTACATGTCCGTTAGCTTGAACGACAGTTTTTCCCGGCATAAACTTTTCTCCTAATTCAGTTTGCACTATTTGTCCTTCTATGAATTTTGGTCCATCAATAGTATCTACTGTCGTCCCAGGAATAAACTCTAATTTATTGTTGCTATTGGTTTTCGTTATTCCGGGTATGAAGCATGTTTCTCCATTAATTGCCACTGTTTGCCCCGGCACAAATTTTAAACCATTTGGTGTAGCTAATGTAGCACCAGGTACAAAATGCAACTCATCGTCTTCATTAATCACTTGGCCTGGTACAAACTGCCATTCATTATTTATTTTTGCGTTTTGTCCAGGAGTGAAAGTCATATCATTCCCTTTTGTTATTGTTTGACCTGGAATAAATTGTACACCTTCTGGGGTTAAAATAGTTTGCCCAGGTACAAAAGTTTCTTCAGAACCATTAGATATTATTTTTCCAGGAACAAACTTCATGCCTTCTTCAGTGAGAACTGTCTGACCTTCAGTGAAGCGATATGAATCATCTTTGTTTTTGATTGTTTGTCCACAAACAAATTCTTCGCCATTTGATGTTTGTAAAAGTTGTCCTGCGAGGAATAATGGTTCGTTTGTGTTTTCATTTGTTACAATATGACCTGGAATAAGTCCTGGACCCACAGGAGTATTTACACTTAAACCTGGTACAAATACAGGTCCTACAGGAGTTTCTACTGTTTGTCCTGGCACAAAAACAGGGCCTTGCGGAGTGTTGATATGTTGACCCGGTATGAATTTTTTTGCTTTGTTTATGTCCAATGTCAAACCAGAAACTTTAGATATTTTTTCTCTTTTACCTTTCTTTATATTTTTTACGATATCGGGTAAGTTTTCCATTGTGGGGAGCAGTTCAACTTTATTATCTTCAGTTAATTTCTCAAAAACATGTGATGTCTCAGTTAAGCGTTCGTTGGGTAATTCTTTAACAGCATTCAAAATTGCTTCAGCAGGCCGTGTCTTTATCGGTTTTAAGGGATTCACGCAAGGCACATTTTCTAATGATACCGAAATGTCACTAATATTGTGATTAACTTCATAAATTTCTGAATCACAATGATGGGGCGTTATTTTTAGGGGTGTGGGTAATATTGTTGATTTTGGTATTATATTTTTTTCATTAATATGTTTTTCCTTTTCAAAATCTTCCCAATCCCATGATTCAATAAGTGGATGAATTTGATCCTTCCATTCTCCATTACACATAATAATACTGGACTTAGAGCGCATATGGCTTAAATCAAAATTACTGGAATGAAAACTTTTTATGTCACTTTTCTCATGTCTGTATTCTTCTAATTTAGCTTTTTTTGCTACGCGTTCTTGACGCAATTTTTCCTCTTCCAATTCCTGAACTTCTGCCAGTTTTTCTTTGTTTTCAAATATTTTTTTCATTGAAGAAAGGCCTGCAGCCCGTTTCCTTTTCTTCTTTCTTTCTTCTAATTCTTCTATTTCTCTCTGTTTTAATACTTCGGCATTGGGTCCTTCACCTTCATATATTTCTACGTCTTCGGTAAAGTCCTTGAAATCCATTGAAACACTACGACCCTGTTTTGTTTTAATTAGCACTGTATCCGAATCCTTCGCAAGCATGACGTCTCGAACATCCCCATCACGCACTGCCGCTTCCATTCGAGCGGAAAAAACTAAACTGCACATTCTTTCTTGAACCGTATATACATATCGCTTATCATCAGTCACTTGTTTTGTCAACAACATTTCCATTAAAGCCTTCTGAGCTTCCGTCGAGCCGTCCAATACTGGGAATATATACCTGTAGTCAGGTAACATTTCGTGTTTCCTATTCCCATAATTTATTTCGGGAGCATAATGATGGGGTCCTAGTTCACCTGAGACGTTTGTAATCTTGCATTTCGTTTTTCCTGATCTGGCGGTGAGCAGTACTGGAATGTAGTGGTGTGATGGCAACCCGTAAGATTTGCCGGTTATCCTGCAGCAACGCTTTGCATCAGCTGGCGAGATCGGAGCGAGAAGTGGGAAATAGTTGGGCTTCGGCAGCCCCCTGCTGCGGCCTGTAATTCTGCAGAACGACATCGTTGTTTGTGTTTATTAAGCCCGCATATTTGTGTACTATACTCTCGAGATAAGTTTATTATTTGTTTTACGATCGCGATCTATACGGGAGAGAGGTGACGCGTGCGCGTTTGGGCGCGTATGCTCGCAGCGGAGAGTGCAGAACGACTGATGTGGCGTGAAAACTTCTCGACCGAGCTTAAACGCCCGCGCAACGCACCTTCACGGAGGCAGACGGTGTGCCTGCTATGCTTGTTCCGGTTACAAGTTATTTATAAACAAAAGAAAGATGAATTTATTCTTAAAGCTAAAATATATGACACAGTTTCATGGCGAAAAACAAGGGAACGGCGAATTTACAATTTTGTGTCGGTTTTGTTATTGCAGTGAGAAAGCAAATTATTTTTGTCAGATCGCTCGACTCGCTCTCCGAAAGATCATCCAACGTGAGTTAATACGTAACTGACAAACGTAACAAACAGTTATTCTGTTGCAATACTGTTAGAATTGCCAAAAAGTCAAACGAACTGTGTCTGATAAATAATTTTCAATTTTAAAGATAATAAGCAAGATTTATAATTAAAAAAGTCGAGTTCAAAGCAAGTATACGTAATGTAAACAAAATATGTAAATATAACTAGCTTTTTGCCCACAACTTCGTAGGCGTAGATTTCAGAAAACCAATGAACGAAATATATATAGGCGATGGTAACCAATTTCAGTTAGGTGGGCCGTCAACTTGTTAACTATTATAAGTTGCATAAAAAATTAGACCACTTCTAGATTTATATCAGTATAATATTTAAGTTAGATCCTTAACTACACAACACAATCGCAATCAAACCGTGAAAATCGCATCTAATTTGGTGCAATAGTTTTTGCGTGATGCCGGAACAAATATACAGGTAAACAGACATACAAAATTTCTAAAAATGATTGTTTTGGTATCTAATAGTTTAATTTATTTTTCATAAATATCCCCCATGTTCAGTTAGAATATTTTGAGATAACCATATCAACTATGAAATATGTAGATGCAATTTGTAAATCTTAGGGTAGAATAAACTGTAATCCCTTAGAACTTAATCTTAATATACAGCCTAAAACTCATGTTATTAGCATCTTCCCTCTACCAATAAAACTGACTACTTTGCCAAAAATTTATATTAGAGGTTACCTCCATTAAAATATCAGGAAAACAAAACATAAAAATTATCGTTTTTCAATCCTTGTTTTCTTGGTAAAAACGTTCGGGTTCACTAATAAGGCATTCTCATAACAGAATGTTATGATTTAAACTTTCTATAATACAATAATTTATTGTAATATAGCCTTCTGTTTTTTTTTATGCAACCTAGAATGGCAAATAAGCTGATGGCTCACACGTACTGTCCCACCTGCCTTAATAAAAATTAACACATTAAAATTTATTTATTTATTTATTTACAAGAAACATGGCAAGTGTATAGATGTTACAATAAGTATAAGTCCTCATATTTCGCCATAATTAGGCATGTAAATATTAAAACTTAAAAAGAATAAATGTTAAATAAGTCATTAAAATTCGAAATGTTATATAAAAAAAAATATATCAAAAATGTCAGACACTTGTCAACAATAAAAAAGAGAGAAATTAACTGAATTTATTTATTTGTTTAGATGCTTTTGTCCATTCACTTATAATACAGATATTAGGTTATACCAAAATGTACACAGGCGGATTATGTAATGATATACGTATGATAATGTATTTATAACTTTTATAAATTGGTGCAATAAAGTCTAAATAAACAATATATTTAGCTGAATTCTAGAAAAACACTTCCAAAGTAACTTATTTTTACGATGAAAGCTTGTATAAAAGTTTATTGAGAAATAACATTGGACTAACGGACAGTGAGAGAGAAAACGTTTAATTTTAAACGCGACACCTAAATGCATTATCGTTTTCATCACATCCCCGATTGAGTTGTCACTCTGTCGAGCCGTCTGTCACAGTTAACTCATAACCTCGTGAACTAACAGTGCCTATTTTTAAATATTAAATATAAATGTGGACCTTCACGCCCGGTGCAACCGGTGGAAACTATTTCGGTGCCATTTGAAATTGTGTGAAAAAACAAGGCCGACTGCGATCAAAATCAGATGTTCTAAATGCATCTATTTATTTATTTATTTAAAATGTTAAGACTCAAGCACTAGAATACACTCGTGGAGAAACGGATCGGGGCCACAGACTGTTTGTATTATGGTATCGAGCTGTAGAACGGATCCATCAATTCAATAGACGTCGTGGGGATTTTGTTGGGAACCAGTTACTGCTATGGAACGGTCGGTTTTCAATCATGTGTCAAATAATATACAGGTTATTCATAAATTCAGTTCCGTGGAAAAGTACAATATTGTTTTTTTTTCTGTCTTTCAACAAAGACACTTTATTTACTAAAAGTTTGACGTGTTTGTAAAAATGTATGAATAAATTAAGTGTTCTGTTCTTTGTTTGATGTATCAATGATTTGAAAGAAAAAACATTTAGATTTCTTTAAGAAATACGATCTAAAAAATAAAATGAAATTTGATGCAATCATTTAAAATCCTTTCCCGTAGGTATTTTAAGAGGCGACTAAGAGAATGGTCAAGGCATGGACAGCAGCGTCCCTCTTAAACTATCACCAAAGTCTAACTTTGACTGCTAACCCGCCTGCATAGCGTGGTAGCTACTTGCATAATCTTCAAAAGAAGAAAATTAACAGCTAATACGATATGATGTGATGATTTACGAACGCGCAGTCAAAATAATTTTAACTTGAATACAATAGAAAATTCATAGGAAGTTTAAAAAAATAACTACCCTATCTTACCAGAGGGAGACTTTGTACAAAAGTCGATTGCTTCGGTACCTCTATCCCATTCGTGTTTCTACCGTGAAGCAGTTGTGTTTGCATGGCTGTGTTTCGGTTTGAAGGGTGGGATATGGCGTGAATTTACTGGGTACAGAGGAATAACACCTGAGTCCTCAGGAATGGCAACGCATGGGGGGTATCATGGGCGAAACAGTATACTCTGTTATGTCCATGGTACTGCTCATGTCTATAGGCGACGGTTACCACTTTGAATCAGGTGGGCCGTCAGCTTGTTTGCCATTCTAAGTTGTATAAAAAAAAACCTTTTTTCCTGTAGAAACGAGGGTTAAAATGCAGTGCAATGCAGTGACAACAACAAAAATGCTCTATGCATACTCTATGCATTAATAATAGTAGGTACATACGAGCTAAAATGGAACTCAAGACGACACGTGGCATGGCTGTTGCTAAACGTTGTTATAGGTCATTTTGTTTCTAATTAACTTTCCAATTTTAAAATTTCAAAACTTAGCAAGGAGTTTACTGCATCTTATATAGAATAAAGAGTAATAAATGTAATTTGAAAATAATAAAAAATAGTCGATAGAATAAATGGGAAAAAATGTACCTACACATTTTTATAAGGCCGCAAATGTACTAAAGACACTTCACGTGTTGCGAATTTTCACGGGCGACGTTAGTCACTATCCATCAGGTGGACCGTCATCTCATTTACCTCCTTAATAATAAAATAAAGAAAAAGTATTATTTTTTATAGAAAAAAACAAGTACAGGAAGATGTGTCTTTAAAGTATAAACAGGAAGTGCGTTTTTGTCGTCGAAAGACATTTTCCATGTGCAATATTTAAAAAAAAAAAACAAAATACATTCGTGTATTTTTATCCTTGATTTTTCTCACATAATCTTTAATTGAATAAGTTTCCGCTTATCAATATATTCAATTATATATATACACAAACAAAATACTTCAAAGAATTCTATTGCGTAAAGCACTTATAAATATAGAAATTGAAAACAGCTTGAACTTGCCATCGGTTTCATCGGAATCTTTTACTGAATCGAGTAAACAGCAGAAAATAGATTTAATATTAGTAAAAAATAAAATGCAATCAACAGTAGTGTTTGTAGGAGTTTATACTGTCCATCATATCGGCCTTCAACTGCTGAATATAAACCTCTCTTGGGGGGGTTTTGTCAGTATTTGCCCAGCTTGGCTGGCGAATTGGCAACCGCAGTTAAACTTTAGAGATGTTTTAAGTGGGACACTGTTATTCATCCTTCGCCCTCCCTTAGTTTATTACGACACCCACGGAAAAGGAAGGGGTGGTCCGTTCTATGCTGGGACCATACGATATAGAATACTTGTATTATTAAATAAACTTATGTTCCAAATTCCAGCTTTCTTAACTTAGTAATTTTGATTAAGTATTGATATAGTTAGTTAGCACAAACGATTTTATATATATAAGAGTTTCCTCTTGTCGGTGCAACTAATTCATTCATCTTCCTCCAGCCAGCTCTATCCCAGGCCATATCCTTTATCTCTCTATACGACATGACGCCTAGTGTTTCCTTTATCTGTCCCATGTAGTTAATCCTCGGTCTTCCTCTTCCTATTATATATATATATATATATATATATATATATATATTAGAAAGCCTATATTAATCTCTGTATGCATGTACATGTATATGGTAAAACGACTTCCTGCTTCCTACAGAACACGCTCAGCCTAGTGTAGGAATCAATGATAAATTCTGTGCTTATAAAACAAATAACTTTGTTAAATAGATATATCTTTATCTTATCTATATAGATTATAAATTTATAAGAGAAAAAAAAACTACTATTATTTTAATTAATTTACGTAAAACATAAGAAAAAGCACTAAAAATTGGTTGTTCCACGAAATGAGACTTTTCCCCTCGTAGTCGAGAGGTTAATACGATGAAAATAACCAAACCGATAAATAAATATATACTAGTTGTAACCACAGATACAAAATACCCAGAACACCTGCTCGTAGCGGTACCAGTTTTCCGCCGTGTGTTTATTCAAAATTTAAATATAGAAATATTTGACATTGCGAATATAAATATCAAGTTCGAATCTCAGGTGGGTGTTTAGGTGCCGCTGCTAGGGAGTACATTTTTCTTTTTGTGTCTAGGTAAGGTCGGAAACGTGGCATTGGCAAACATTGGCTATAAATTCCTCAACGTCGGAAGTACTTATACCTCTTTGTAGTATAAGTACACATTGTTATTATTCTTATGATATTGTTTGGGCAACATAGAATAACAAATTAACCGAAAGCC